ATAACACTTTGCATCAGATAGTCCCCATAGCCCTTTCCTTTTACCATCTAGGGTATATGTGGCATTCAGCAAAACACATTCACAGATATTTCATAGTTATCTACATGCTACACTACAAAAGTCTAAAACAATGTGTAGAATATTTTCAGCTTCTCCTTTGGGTATTGGAAGGGTGAGTGATCACCTAGATTATCAGAAAGAAGTATCCTCTTCTCGTATGCCTAGATTTATTTTTTTTCCTGTTTAGTAAAATAAGCTCAGGACCTAGAGGCCAGCAGACCAGGCATTCGAGGCAAGCAAGTTGTACAAACTTTGACTGGCCAACTCAGAAGAATATTTCAAATTGGCTAATCCAGAGAGGTACTAAGACACCAAGAGACTGGACAGAGCAAAATTTACTATGCATATTTGAAAGCACAGGAGCGACCATCTAAAGCAAGAGTCAACAAAATGCAATTCACAGGCCAAATCCAATGTGCTGCTTGTTTTGTGTGGCTCAATAGCTGAGAATGATTTTTAGATTTTAAATGGTTGAAAAAAATTAAAAATAGTACTTAGTGGCACGTGAACATTAAAAGAAATTTATATTTCAGTGCTCATAAAGTTTTACTGGGATACAGCCACGCCCATTAGTTTTGTCTAGGGCTGCTTTCACGCTACAAAGACAGAGCTGAGTAACAGAGTCAGAGACCATATAGCCCACAAAGTCTAAAATATTTACTGTCTGACCTTTTACAGAAAAACTTTGCTGACTTCTAATCTAAAGTCTGGTTAGGACATTTAAGGAAACCAGAGACAGATAAAAGATAAGAGGAACTTTGTGAAAAGATCTCTAGGACTTGTGCAATCAGGATCAGTCAACTCCTTGGCTAAAGATACCTGATTAAGGCTCTGTTGAAGTTGCAAGTAGATCCTTCTAGCATAGTTAACTTGCCCCTGGGAAATGTTACTCAAAAAGTCAGAGAGTGAAGAGGACACTAATATGCACCAAAAACTCTCTGCAAGACTCCAAACAAGAAGTAACATTCAATTCCACATGGGCTGAGGTGGGAAAGAGTAGATTTAAAGGACAGAAAGAGTTCAATGAGGGTTCACTTACATTTCTTCCCTCACAAAAACCTGGGGCGAGAGAGAGAATCAAAGCCATACTTATATAAAATTTGCCAAGGATACTAAATTGGGACATATTGTAAACATCAGTGAGGATGGTGTAATTCTTTGAGTTCAGAATGTAAACTACAGTTTCAATTTTATGATGTGTACCAAACAGTGCTCCATGTGTACAAAACAAATGGATGTACAATCTCTAATGTTTTACTAGAAAATGTCTGAAAAATAGTAAATTCTTGAGCACATAATGCACATGATGAATTAATTAACCCTCTTTGAAACATGATGAAGTAGAGATGAGGATTCATATCCTGATTTTCCAGATGAGAAAATGGAAAAGAAAGGAATTTATCCAGCCATGGTCATAATGCCGGGGGAAGAGGGAATCTCAGAGTCCTAATTTTTAACCCAGCCCATCCACATGCACTCTTTCAGCTGACTTTATCCCCATCTGAAGATTGATTTTTAAGACAATGGGAACTCGGATTCACCATCTTTTAGGAAGGCAAAACCAAAGGTGCACCCAGGTATAAATGCACATGTATTTGCTGAAATAATAGTGATGGTGTTTGTAATTTGTAGAATTGTTACAGAACATCTAAGCTGAAAGGGCATTTAAAAAATATCTAGTTGAACTCCCTTACTTTACAGACAGGAAAAACTGAGGTCCAAAGGGGATTTTTTTTAATCCAATGCCGCACAACTAAAACCCCTCTGAGCGCCTACCTTGCACATGGATATCATTTTCCTTTGACTTCCCAGCCTTTTAGATAGCATCCAATATGCCTCTGCCTTTCACCTCCCAACTATTCCCACCCACTTACCACTAGCTAATTCTCCTCATGCCTGTTTCTAACCACAGACCATCCCCCCAACACACACACACACACGCACACACACACACAGAAACATATTTTCTCAGTTTCCATAAAGCAGATATTAATGATTTTTCACCTCCTTGGCCTATTACCATCATTGTTTTTATCTCAAAATATGCAGATTATTCCCTGACTAGCCTCCCCAACACCCCAAACACCAAGCATTACTGACAATGAGAAAATGTAGGGCTCTCTTTCTTCTTCCTCCTCATCAGGAAAACCTGGCTAGATTACAATTGACTCTGTGCTAAGCCCTGCACCAATGACAGCATTAAAGCCTCATAGTTTATGAACTACCAAAACTAGAAATGGATTTCTGTCTGACGTGCCAGGCTTTTAAGTCTTGTACCTGTGCCCAGTCCAGAGATTTCTGAAACCATGAATAAAGTGGTAATCAACACTCTGAATACTCCATCTGAGTTAACTGACAATGGCAAACAAATAAGGAAGAAAAAGATTTGTGCTCCCACTCCCTCCAAGGCAGGTGGAATTCCAAGTTACAACAAGGCAGATTCAGAATTACTTTCAGAAAGTCCATTTGGGCAATAAAGATGCATTGTAAAAATGAAAAAAAAGTCAATAAATGTTATCTGTAGGTAATAAGACAGCCCCCTGCCTTCAAGTAGAGATAATAATGACAGTAAACTCCAGCCACCAAGCTTTCCGGATGGGAGGTGAAAGGAAACACCAACAATTTTTTGGCTTTGTTTTGTGATTTTTTAAACTACCTTTTCCTGTCCCTCAAAGGGCTCAGGACTAGAATCCTGGGTCCATATTCCAAAGGAAATGAGGAGCTCCATAGCTTTGCAAAGAATCCACTGGTTATTTTCACATTTCAAGCAGTTAAGAGCATTTGGCCCCATGAGCTCACAGAAGCTCATTTTCTCAAAAAATATTTCTAAGTTTCCTTAACTTAAGTGATTCTAAGGTCTGGAGAATTTTGAGACCTTGTTAGATTTCCAAGTGTTTGGTAAGTTGAGTGATTACCCTCCCCTCCTTCCTTGTTTTCAAATAGCCCAAGATCCACATAATAGCAGAGATCCTCCCAGGCAGCCCTGCCAGCTGCCCTTCTGCCTGCCTCCCTCCTTCAGCCCTAACTTCTGGAGAAAGCTCCCATGTGGAATATGTTATGACAGCAAAATCCTCCCTTTCACAATATGGTGGATCATTTCTCCTGTTTTCCAAAAACAACAGTATCGTGACCCAGATTTGTAAAACCCAGAGGCAGCATCAAATACAATCCAATCTATCTGATTATTGAATTTTCTTTTCACTTGCTTACTTGAACTCTTTTCCCATCTGATATGGCTGCTATTACTGTGGTGCCTGGGATTTCTGGCACATTCACTCTAGATGGGTGCTGTGGTTCATTCTTTGCTCTATAGGTAGGGCCTACACTGCATGACAGGGTATAAGGAAGAGACAGGTTCTCACTGGAGAAGTTGCGGTGATCTGAAGTATTTGGAGCTACTCCTCACATCCTTTTCGACAGCCATTCTCCTGTAAATACCCTTAAGAAAGGAAGGCACTGCTCTCTGTCTCTTTCCAAATTGCCTAGGCCTGGGCACTGGGGCCCTACTGCCCAGCATAAGCAGTAGCAATGGACTACTCAGGGGTATGGGTGGAACATGCAGCATGTTTTCCTTAACACTAAACACTAGCTGTCTCCTTGTTGCTTTGGGGACTGGAAGAACACAAAATAACAGCTTTCCTTTTTATAGGTATTCCTGTCATCTGGCCAAAATGTGAAAAGATAATCATCATTCCAATTGGCTATCAATGGTAAGACCAGTTAAAGGGCACCCACTTTGTACCATTTCTCTAGATGCCAAGAACCCTATGGAGTTTCTGCTGTCCTCTGATGGGTGTCATCACATTCTTGGTTAAAAGTGTGGCCTATATGCTTACCACTTTCAAGGCTGTCATCAGGGTTTGTAGCCCTTACACAAGGAAATGCTGTCTGTTTTCGTTCTAACTTGGGACTCAACACTTCTAGGCCAGTGAGAAGGAAGAAAAAGGCATTGGCAGGAAGTACTTCCTTTGTAGAAAGTGAAGGTAGAAGTAGTTATGGTGTTTAGCAACTGGCTGTGCTCCCAGAGAAGAGCATCTCTGTTTAGTGGCTGTTCATTAGCGTACCTTTGAAAAGCAAGCCTTTAGTACAAGATGGGGAGTAAAGTGGATGGATAGGAGGCTTAAGCCCAGGGAGACTGAGAAGGAAGGAGGCACTAGCACATATAGGAGATCTAGAAATGCAAGTTCCTGCTGTAGGATGTAGCCTGAGCATCTCTAGGGGCTGAGCAGACATGAATTGTTTTAAGCTAAATAAGACTAAAGAGCTACGGCTTGAGCCCACTTAGACAAATATAAAATGCAACTTAGCTCAGGGTTTTAGACCAATGGACAGGCCGTGAGGGCAGCTCTCTGGAGAGAGAAAAAAAGTGTTTCATCACTTTCTGCCCTTATCTACCTAGGAATTATTAATGCAAAGAGGCCCCAAGGAGGCAGCAGGAGGAGGGAGCAGGTGCATAGACTGATGGTCTGCTGAACAGTGAGAACACTTTCTTTCTGGGGTAGAGGCCAGGAAGCCTTCACTAAGGAACAGTCTCATATTCACCACAAAGAACAGGCTAGGGACTCAGTTGGGGTTTTTCCACTTCTAACCTCTCTAATAAGGACAATTTTTCCCTCACTAGGCAGCAGAGTGGAACACAAGCAGGAAGGAAATTAAATCTTTTCAAATCATTAATTTTTCTTTCGTTCTGGGGAACCACCAAGCTCCAATCACCAGCTGGGACCACCTCCACTGCCTACATTGCCTACACTACCAAGGCTGCCAAAGCCAGGGTTCCAGAAAGTAGGAAGACTTGTTTTTTCAGATCCTTAGGTTCTTTGAGCAGGCCCTGCCAGTGACCATGTCCCAGAGATGATAAAGTCCTGGGCCCTAGAAGATTAGTGTCTCTCTTGAGAAGCTAAAGGAGAAAGAGAAACAGCAGTGAGTTTGCAAGACTCTACCTTCAGCAGCTCTTTTAAAGAAGACTTTGCAGCTTCCACAAGTGAGAGCTCCATAGTGACAGCCAGAAGCTTCATCTCCACAAATCAGGCAGGTCTTCTGGGGTGGAAAGTAATAGTCGATGGGCAGAACATGGTCCCTGGTAGTCTCCAAACTGAAAAGAGGCAAGAGGAACAATGCAACACATGTCAGTAGTTGGCAGAAATAGGAAGGTAGAAGTCTGAGGCCTTCAGGAGTAAACTACATGTATAAATTATTTCTCTCTATTGCTTAATTGGGTTAGGTTAAAGCTGAATTTTCCTGGGACTTCTCCTAGATTTTGTGTTTGTAGGGTTTCCTGTCATGTGGACAGAGCCCTTTTGGATCCTGCAAAGGGATTAGAGAAGCTCTCTGGAATCAGCCAGTCTCATAGGTTATGTCTACACGAGGGAAGGATGCAGGCAGAAACCTGAGGTTGAGAAATATCACTTAAGGTTGTGGTTAGGAAACAATTTCAGAGCAATTAAATGGTATGAACTCAGTCCCAAGACCTTACGTTATCCAAAGCAAAATCTATGGCAAAACCAGATTAAGTCTTAAAGCAGTTTGATGTGTTTTGCTCTAGTTCTCTGAGCCTCACTCTCACCCGTAAGTAGGAATAATATCACCCATCCTACTGAGTTACTGGTGTGGGTGGAGGTATAAATTAAACAAAAGTATAAAAAGCTCTTGAAATGAATGCAGAAGTGAGGGATCACGGTTAGTATTATCATATCAATCTTCTTTGGTCTTTTTTCCATTCCCTCACTTTCTTTAAGAGTACATAGATCACATGGACATCTCCCCATACCCATCTATAACATAAAGGTGCAGAATCCCTATGTTTGAGGCTTTTATTGAGGAATGATGCACAATGCTGCTGGAAATCTTTCAGGCAACCATCTCAATGCTTGGCCATTAGAATACTAAGGCTCCCTGGGCTAGAATGGAGCCTCATAGGTGGCCTAATTGAACTATTTATCTCCAAGAGGATCTGTGTCTGTGTCCTTCCAGGTGGATGTGAAGGAGAGGGCCAGAAAGTCAATCTTAAAACCTTAATGGATCATTTGGTAAGTCTATTTTAATTTTTTGAGGAATCTCCATACTGTTTTCCACAGTGGCTGCACCAAACTGCACTCCCACCAGCAGTGTAGGAGGGTTCCCTTTTCTCCATAGCCACTCCAGCACTTGTCACTTGTGGGCTTTTTAATGATGGCCATTCTGACTGGTGTGAGGTGATACCTCTTTGTAGTCTTGATCCACATTACTCTGGCAATTAGTGATGCTGAGTATTTTTTTCATGTGCCTATTGGCCATTTGTATGTCTTCCTTGGAGAATTGCTTGTTTAGGTCTTCAGCCCATTTTTGGATTGGGTTGTTTGGGTTTTTCATTGTTGTTATTAAGTTGTATGAGCTGCTTATATATTCTGGAAATTCAATCCTACTGCTGGACATATATCCTGAGGGAACTTTAATTCAAAAAGATATATGAACCCCAATGTTAATAGCAGCACTATTTGCAATAGCTAAGACATGGAAACAACCTAAATGTCCATTGACAGATGACTGGATAAAGTTGTGGTATATTTATACAATGAAATACTACTCAGCCATAAAAAAGAATAAAATAATGCCATATGCAGCAACATGGATGGACCTGGAGATTGTCATTCTAAGTGAAGTAAGTGAGAAAGAGAAAGAAAAATATCATATGATATCATTTATATGTGGAATCTAAAAAGAAAAAGACAAATGAACTTACTTACAAAAAAAAAACAGACTCACAGACATAGAAAACAAACTTATGGTTACCGAGGGTTGTGGGGAAGGGGTGGGAAGGGATAAATTGGGAGTTTGCAGATACTAACTACTATATATAAAATAGACAAACAACAAGTTTCTACTGAATACCACAGGGAAATATATTCAATATCTTATAGTAACCTATAATGAAAAAGAATATGAAAGTGAATACATGTATGCATATGTATGACTGAACTATTACACTGTACACCAAAAAGTGACATAACATTGTAAACTGACTATACTTCAATTAAAAAAAAACTTAATGGAAGGGTTGAGCTGGGTATTCCATAGTAATTAATTCAAGTTTAAACAAATTAAACATGGTTCATACTACCCAAAGGTCAATTTTTTTTCTCTCTTATGTCCTATGTCTAATCATTAAACAAAACTTAAATGACTTCCTGGGTTGATCTGCCTCAGGTAAGTGACAACCACCCATTCTCTCCTCCAAAGGAATGTAGCCACTATTTTTTATGAGTACTCTTTCCTTACTAAAGAAGGAAGGAAAATAAGTCCTAATGGCAGCCTGTTTGCTGTGCTGAGTGATTCAAACACCTCAAAATAACTCTGTGAGACATTTTTTTCTCATTATTATATCAGATGAGGAAAGTCAAGACTCAGAGAGAAGAAGGTCTAGATTATTCGATACCAAGCCCAGGACTATCTGACTCCAAACTAACACAGTTTCCATTACCCTACTGTCATCCCACAACTCACCTTCACTTTCTATCCACAGCTCTTTGGTTATCATGCTCAACACAGTCATCAGAATCCAAAAAAGCATGAAAGGTTTTCTTCCCCTCAACCTTCAGTGAGCAGCCCTGGCAGGACAATAGCAAGGAAAGCTACAGGCTACACTTGACAAGCACTTTATCACTGAGACACAAATATTAGCCTTTATTCAAGTCTCAAGTACAACAGAAGGCACTCAGAAAGTGCTGCTGATATGCAAACCCTGTAGTTGGTTATGGGGGCTTTTATTTTCTCACCAGAATCCTTTCCTTTCCTACCTAACTGAAAAGCCAGCAGGAGTCTGTCCACCAAATCAAGACTAACAGGGCCACAAGTTCCACAGGAAAATAGCTCACTTCTCATAGAAAAATGGGCCAAAAGCTAAGAACGTCATTCCTTCGGCTAAAAATGTCGTTTCCTTGGGTAAAAACTGTGCCGCCATCCTCATTCATGAAACAAGGAGAAGCAGCAGAGAGGTAGTGTTGTTATCTGTTTGTTTGTTTTCAAGCATCTTCATCTTCTTCTTACCTTTTATGGCTTCTGTAACTAATACAAACATTTCAAATAAAATCAGGACATATATTTAGGCATGTGTCAGGCCTCTTCATATAAATCATCTCATTTAATCTTCCCAACAATTCTGCCACGTAGTACTGTATCATCCCTATATTGTAGGAGAGGAAGTTGGTGATCAAGAAAATTAAGTAAACTTCAAGATCACTCATCTAGTAAGTGGAAATACCAGATTTTCATACTAAGTAACTGTGGCTACAAAGTGTGGATTTGTAACCAATGACTAATCATGTTATGCGATTGAAGGTTTAGATTAAATAGATTGATTCAATTCAACTCCTAGCACCCAGCCCTATGGACTAGGTACAGGGCTAGGTGCTGGGGATACAGTGATCAAAATACTGTCCTTGCCTCTAAGCCACTTACTATCCAGTAGAGAAGACAAGAAGCAAAGAACTGTAAAATAACAGAAGATGATATAATAAAGCATAGTGCATATTGCTACAGATAAGAAAGCACTTCAAAGACAAATTTTTTTAAAGTACAAAGGTATATATGTATAAATGAGATGATAATGGTAATGACAATAATTATTGTTATATGATTGCAAAGTAAATATTAGATAAAGAAAATGAAAACCTGTATAACGTCAATAAGAGGTTTTTTTGGAAAAAGCCTTTAAAAATAGAAATTTTCATCCATACCAAAATTTAAAATATGATTCAAATTATTTAAGAGTCTAATTAATCAAATTTATAATCAATGCTTAAAGATTGAAGAAAGTCATCATTTTATTTATTAGATATGCCTTTAATAAAATATTCCTTACATAAAAATAACTATAAAGGAGATGGAAGAGTAGCAGAAATAATGAAAGAGATTTTAGAATCTGAAGTTTTCGTAAGTACAACCCACTTTGGCTAGAAGCCTGAGATATTTCCTGACCTCAACAGGCCAGTCTCTGCCTACCTCCCCTCTTCTCTCTCTGGCAAATGATTTGGGCATCATTCCCACTGACCCTGGCCTAGTGTCAACAAAGGGCACATTGCAGTTCTGACTCATGGGCTGATCTTTGGCATTGAAAATGAAAATTCCAACTGCAGACTCTCTCTCATGTTTGTATTCTAGAGAAATTCATATGCATTTGTACCAGGAAGCATGTGAAGAAATGATCCATAGAGGCTTTGTTTATAGAAGCAGAAATGTTAAATATCCACTGATAGGAAAAAGGGTAAATAAATTATATCATACTCATTCAATAAAACACAATTCGCCAATAAGGAACAAAATGCACCTACAAATAGGTGAATCTCACAAGCTAATGTTGCATAAAAGACATAACTCATAAAGCATACAAACAATGTGATTCTATTACATAAAGTTTGAAAAGAAGCAAAAGTAAACAATATGTAATTTGGGAATATATATGTGAAAAAGCATAAAAACACAAGGGAATAATAAACATCAAATATAGGATAGTAGTTATCCCTGAGGAGAGGCTGGGGGTAAAAATTTAAAGAAGGGAGATACAAATTGATTCATGCATTCATTAAAAATATTTATTAAGCACCTGCTACCATTCTACATCTTGAGGTTAGAGCACTGAACAAAACAATGATGTTAATATTCTTGTTCTGTAATCAGGGCTCATGAGTGTTTGTTTTATTATTATGCTATATATGTAACTTATATGTTACACGTACTCTTTTGTACAGTTATAACAGAACACAATAAAAGAAAAATTGAAAGAAAAATCTCAGAAGTTTTAAATATTCCACTAAATAACATTTTAACGGCAAGCACAGCAGAAGTTTGCTTTGAGAATAAGTAAGTGCAGAATTTGCATGTGATGTTGTGTTTTTTCCCATCTCCCCTGGGTTATACACTCACTTATTATCCCAACACTAGGCATTCTGTTTTATGAGTCTGAAGCAAAAGCCCTGTCTCACAGAACAGAAGTTTTCCAAACCAGAACACCACTTGCTATTCTCCAAAATTTTCATAATTAATTAAATGAAAGTGGATTACTAGAAGCTATAGGGTTATAAATGCCAGTTCAGTCATGAGGAAGTTGGGCTCAGAAAC